ACTTCAAATTGCACCTGTTGGATGTACCCCGAACTCTCAGGCCCAAGCCAGATATGAGAAGGAAAGTTTTTAGTGATGTCCAACTCCACCAGAACACGAGCAACAGATGGTCGATAACCGACAGAAGTGGTGGAATCCACCTTTAGCGGCCTCCCGAATGTTATTCGGGAGGAAAGTCTTTAATAACTTGATATTCGGCCGATCTCATGATCTTTACTCAATAATCAGCTCGAAGTTATTCGATCCAATGCTGAGTAGAGCAAAGTCTAATCATAGGTTAGCTCAATTCAAGTTTTGAACAATCTTTAAGCTTCATTTGAGACTTTTTTATGCTTTTTAAAACAACTTTTCATTTCAAAAATTAAAATATATGTACTGGAAATGTGTTTTAAGAATCAACAAGAAAGCAGTCCGAAACATAGACTTAGGCTTCGTTTAGGATGACTTTCTTACTACTTCTTAAAGTAGCTTTCCAGTATTTTGTAATACAAAGTTGCTTTAAGAAGTAGTAAGAAATGCATTCAAGACTTCGTCTGAGACAACTTTTTTGCTACTTTGTAAAACGGCTTTTTAATATAAAAATTTCTAATTTACAAATTTTTTACTAAAAAAAGGTTTTAGAAATCAACAGAAAAGTTGTCACAAAAAAAAAACCTTGATACGGCATCACAAAATTAGTTTGATCGGGCACGAATCTCGAGGCGAAAGCTAGTTGCAAACTTCAAAAATTAATTCCGAGAGCACCCCAACTCCGATTTCAGCAAGCTTATAGTCGAACTGAGCGTCTCGGAAATACGAACTCAACGACACCAAATTCGACTCAATCCGAGCCCAAATGGGTCCGAATCATGGACCCGAAGTGCTGTTGGAAGGTTCAAACCGCAATTTGAGTTACCAAACGGACTCCGATTTTGACGAGCTTATACTCGAATCGAAGGGCTCGACGAGACGAATCCAACGAGCCCAAGATCACAGAATTTCGACATCACTAAGGCCTCCAAATGGCCAACGAACGGTGCACGGTCATAGGATTCAATATCGGCCGTCCATTTGACCACTCTCTATTCGCCCCTGATCTCACGCCTATTTACGGGTCATGCCACTCCAGAAAATCTATAAATAGAGCCCTCATTCTTCACAAAAAAGGGGCCAAGCAAGAGAGAGAAGAAGAGAAGAGAAGGAAGGAGTTCCTCCTCGACAGCCGCCGGACCACCGCCGGACCACAGCAGAACCTCGCCGGACCACCGCCGGACCACCGCAGGAATCTCGTCGGACCACCTCCGTACCACCGCAGGAACCTCGCCGGACCACCGCAAAACCTCGCCGGACCACCACCTTAAGGCTTAAAAATAATAAAAAAGCTATCCTAAATAAATCTTAAATAAAAATTTTGATATATGGCATAATTTTCTATTGAGAAGACATGTATCTTGTAGTTATTAGCTCTAGAATATTCTTTCTTTTTGTCATTTGCTTGGTAGTTTAATTATTATTATTTTCAATTTATTGTGCAATTTTATACACCGATTGAGCTTTAACGACGCGTGAGATGGGCATAAAATTTACAGAGAAGATTGAAGCAGATTTTGATGAATTTAAATAGATTTTCATTATTTATTTTTATTAAGTATATTTAATATTTTTATTGCTATTGAGTAAACTTTGATCAAAATATGTTGGCCCTTTTTTTTTTCAAACTTGTTGCGTCCAAGAGCATTCACGGCGGTAGAGAAATATAAAATTTAACATCTTAGCATTGTACGAAAATTCAGCACGCACACAGATAAAAATAGACGGTACATCATTAACTAGAGGCACCGAGATTTTTACGTGAAAAATCTCTAAAAAGAGGGAAAAACCATGTGGTCTAGCCCAATTTGAATCCACTATTATTTGCAATCAATTACAATTTAGGCCTCTTTTTAGGGGGAAGTTATTGACTTGATGTGCATTATATGAAATACATAACAGAAATACAAAGAGTCACTATTGACATGTTCGTTTGGTCAGAAAGATCATAGTCGATGGGCGACGTAAGTCGGCAGGACCGTAGTTGGCGGGCGACGGAGGTCGATAGGATCGTAAATGGTGGGCGATGTAAGTCGACAGGATCGTAGTCGGCGGGCGACAGAGGTTGAAGGACTGTAGTCGATGGGCGACGGAAGTTAGAAGGACTGTAGTCGGCGGGTGACGGAGGTCATAAATATCGTTGTCTGGCAATGTAGTTCGAAAGGGCTGATTCAGGTAAAAGTCCAACAATGGACATAAATCTAGCATCAGATAAATGTCCGACGAAAACCAGACAAAGGGCATAAGTTCGGCGTCGGGTAGAAATCTGGCGACGAGCAGATGTCAAGAGTAGGGTAGAAGTCCGACATTAGATGGTATTTGGACAAAACTCTAGAGTCACTTAAGATCGAGCAAAGTTCCGGCGTCACTGGAAAGTCGAGCGGAATTCCTGCGTCACTTGGAAGTCGGGCAAAATTCTTGCGTCCCGTGGAAGTCGGGTAGAGTTCCGATGACCCTTGGAAGTTGGGCGAAATTCCGGCGTCACTGTGGAAGTTAGACATAATTCTTGCATCTCGGGGAAGTTGGGCAAAATTTCGGCATCACTGGATAGTCGGACGGAATTCCGGCGTCACTGTGGAAGTTGGACAGAATTCCGACGTCACTAGAAAGTTAGACGGAATTACGGCATCACAGTGGAAGTCAGACAGAATTCCAGCGTTACTGAAAAGTCGGGCGGAATTCCGGCGTCACTGTGGAAGTCAGACATAATTCTGGTAATGGTCGAGGTGGAGTTTCTTCCCTCCTATTATTCTTCTCTTCTCTTCTCTCCCTCTCTTCTTCTTCTTCTTCTTCTTCGGTCCCCTCTTAAGAGAAATGAGGGGATATTTATAATTTTTTTAGAATGACATGGCCCGTAAATAAGGAACTTTTATTACGTCCTATGACCGGACGTAGATCTACATTCGGTCAGAGGATTTTTACTCGGTTTTTACTCGGTATTTGGTCGGTATTGTTAGGTATTATTTGGTAATAACGAGGAATATCACTCTATGAAGACCAATACCAAGTTATACCGAGCAATACTGAGCAATACCGAGTAATACCAAAAAATACCGAGAAAAAACTCGGTATTTTATTGTATTACTCAGTATTGCTCGGTATAACTCGGTATTTTGTCTTCACATAATCATATTTTTCTCGTCATTGTTGGTATTGCTCGATTTTTTTCATTTTGTGTGTGCGATCTTAGTGCGGGCCGAACGTAGCTCTATGTACGTTCACCGGATGTAATAAAAAGTTCTTAAATAAGAGGAGGATCAAGGGAAAATGTGGAGTGGTTTGGATGGACGTCCGATATTGAATCCCTTGATTGTGGACCGTTCATCAGACATTTGAAGGTCTTAATGATATCAGAATTCGACGATCTTGGGCTCCTTGGATTCGTCTCGTCGAGCAATTCGATTCGACTATAAGCTTGTCATATTTTAAACTGTTTGGTAATCCAAATTATGGATTGAACCTTCCAAGTGTGCTTCACGTCTTCGATTTAGACCCATTTGGGCTCGGATCGAGTTGAATTTGGTGTCGTTGGTGTCGTATTTCTGAGGCGCTCAGTTCGACTATAAGTTCTCTGAAATCAGAGTCCAGGTGATCCCATATTTAATTTTTTAAAATTTTCAACTTGATTTTGCCTCGAGATTTGTGCCCGATCAAGATAATTTTTTGATGGCATATCAAAACTCTCTCGATATTTGGGATGGCTTTAATTGCAGCATTTTAAAGTTAATTATAAAGTTTTTGTGAGAAAATTAATTTATTATATTTTTTGTAAAAAATAATTTTTCATTACAAAATTTTTTGAAAATATGTGAATAAGTAGTAAAAAAATAATAGCAAAATAAAATTAGATTTATTGTGTAAAAAATAAAGTAACTAAAAGCCTATCTCAAAGAAATCCTAAATAATTTATAAGAGAATATAAGCAACCTCAAGAGAAGAGAGGATGCTTATGCATAACAATATCCTTTCTTCTACTTATAATTCACTCAAAATGTTGTTATAGAAAATATTTTCTTAAAATTAGCAAAAATTAATTTTAAAATTTTTAATATTTATATTACATTCATCTAAAATAATTTTAACGACATAAAATTTATCCTTATCCAAATTTGATAATGTGAATGGGCCCATTCATTTTATTGGATGTTACAGATGGCATTTTTTTAAATTTATTTTATATTAAATATATTTTTATATAGGCAGCAACCGGGCCCCACATGAGAGATCATGGACCGCGATGAACTGAAAATCCATGGCTTGTGGGCCTCACGAATCCTTCGTGTATCATGTCCTACTCTATTTGGGCCCTGCGTTGATTGCCTTAGCCTTCGCTGCGAAATCTCGGGAGATCGGCAGATGAGCCAGCTCAGTTCTCATTAAAGTATAAATGATCTACTGATACCGTCAATCGACCCCAATTAACTAAGGGATGTAAAAGTTAATTAATTAATCAAATTTAAATAGGAGTTCAAATTTTATTCTATGGCTTGAGCTATTATTATAATAAATCATTTAAAAAAAGAGAAAATAGAAAATAATAATAATCACTTAATATAAATTTAAAATATTTTTAATAATTTTATGCTTAAAATTCTAAATTATATTATATTTTAAATATATTTTATATTAATATTTTTTAAACATGCAGCCAGCTAACGAGTTAATGAACCTAGCTAAAATTGGCTCAAATTTGACTCATTAGCAAATTAAGCTAAGCTCATCAATCCTAAGCCGGCTTAACTAAAATACAACTCTAACCCCAACATATATAAGTATTAAATAAATAATTTAGATTTAAACATTTTTATATATCATAATTTCATAGAATTTATTTAAAAAGTACTATTGAATTTTAATTCTACATGTATAAGTTATCATTATGCAAGAAGCCCAACTTAAAAGAAATTACAAAGAATTATTTATATAAAAAATTCAAACAGAAATTTCAAATTTCTTAGAATAACTAGTAAATTCATAATAGAATTACATCGAAGCAGGTAAAAAACCCAGACAAATTTCTTTTCCCTCTTTCCGGTAAATCTAACCCAACGCAACCATTTTACACATAAGATCGTCTTCTTCTACATAGCCGTTGCAAGAAAAATTCCAAGCTCCCAAGTTAGTAAAAAATAATAACGCCGAAATTTAGTAAAAAAAAAAAAAGGAAATTTGAAAAATGTTTTGATCAAAACTCTCTGGGATCAACAAAAATTGATTTGCCCGGCGCCGCCTTTGTCCAATCTCCGACCGCCCCATCACTATACTCCTCCGCCAGTCGCTTCACACACCACAAATCTTCTGCGCACGACATCCGCCGCCAATAGGGTATCCCTTTCTTCAACGGCTCTTCCGCCGCAACCTCCGCTGCCACCGCGGCACAACCTCCTTTCCTCGCCATATTATGCACGTGTCTACACAGCACCCGCACCATCTCCGCCGCGTCCTTCCCCTCCCCCTCAATCCCGTACATCAAGTACATCCCAAACGGCCGGAAAACATCAGGCACCGACGGTATTCTGAAACAGGGAAGCGCTTTGTCGATAGCCCGCGTGGCCTTTGACAGCCACCTCCGCCATTTCCCGGCCCCGCGGACCTCGAGCCTGAAGAGGGCTTTGCAGTTCCAGACGCTGAGAACGGCCCAGCTAGCTGGCGGTTCAGCGAGGAAACTATCGAGGCCGGTCCAGGGGTAATCGGATGGGAGGGCGAGGTAAGTGCCGAGGGAAAGGGGGTTGTGGAGAATGGAGCCGATGTCGCGGGGAAAAAACTCGGTGGTGGATAGACGGCGGCGGTAAAGGAGTTCGGCGTCGGAGGGGGAGAGAGGGAGGAGGCGGAGGGCGCGGTAGTGGAGAGGGAAGCGGTGGGCGAAGACGGGGTGGACGAGAATGGAAGGGGTGCGGAATTTGGTGTAGCCGGAGCGCAGAGTGAAAAGGCTGATAGAGGCTTCGTTGTCAATATCTGTAGCGATGTATGAGTATTCGGCGCCTTTGGAGCGGAACCATTCCTCCATTTTTTGGACGAGTGTGAGCCCGATGCCCATTCGCCTGTAAAGTACCATTTCAACTCGGATCCATATATCTAGTTTTTGAATAATTTTTTTGAATTTATTTAATGTAAAAAATTAAATATGAATAAAAATAGAAGGATTTATATGCATATCATAATATTAAATATTGATATGTCCAATATATAAATGCTTATAATTATTTATATAAATTTAAATATATAAATATAATTAAATAATTTATTTAACATATATGAATATATAAAATTTTTATAAATTTTAGGTAAATTCTCTAAAAAAGTTAAATATAGTGTATATTTCTACTTTGAATATATATTTTTAATAATTAGAATTATTTTTTTTTTCAATTCAATTATCAAAATTTAAATAATTTATTATCAACTAAAATTTAAGTAAGAATTGTGTTTTAACGAATAATATATGAGTGATTTTTTTTGGCGTGTTGACTTGATTTGAAAGTTGTAGGAAGATAAAAAATATTTAAAAAAAAGTATAATTACAGATTATAAATTTTATTTTTGTTATTATAAGTCTAGATGATAAATAAAATGTAATGAACGACAGAGCCGCGAACACGATCCCTATTCCGTCGGTCGTTCTCTCACACTCTTTAATTAAGATTAACTATGACGGTGCGTTTTGTTGTTAAAATGGCGGTTACGGCGAGGGGTGAGCATACCGGTAGGCGGGCGAGACGCGTAGGCCGAGGAGGTAAGCGAGCTTGGTGTAGATAGGGGTGTATTGCTTCGCGCCGGAAGGTGAGCGGAGTGGCTTCTTGCCGCATGTGACCGTTTTGATACAGCCGCGGACTACGCCCACGATTTGGCTCCCGCACGTCTCCGCGACCTTTTGCGTTTTGGATTCAGAGTTAGAAGAAAAGTGGAGAAGACGAAGATTGAGGAAGTAGAAAAATAAATAAAATCCCACATCGCAAAAGGCAGTAAGGGGAGATCGGGAAGAGAGTATTTACCAGCATGAAGAAAGAGGGAGAGTGGCGGACGCGGCAAAGAGGGTCGCCGAGAAGGTCGGTGAAGAGGGACATCTTACCGCTTGGTCCAACCTCGCACGTCTTCTCCAAAACCTCCACGGCCTCTTTGTCTCTCTCGGGTTCGAATTCTCTCACCACCACTCTCACTATGTCTTCTCTCATTCTCATTTCAGTCTCTCTCTATCTCTAGATAATGAGGAGGTAGAGATTTGATGGGGTCGCTTAGATAGTCTGAGCTTTCTTGAAGAAGTGAGAAGACGATGATTGGAGAGCTAGCTTTAAAGGAGAGGCGGAGTGGGGTATAACCGTATAAATATACGAGAAGCTGCTGTATTATTATAAATAAAATAATATAAAGGAAGTAGTTGGTGGTAATAATGAGGGAGGGAAGGGAGAGGAAATGGTAAAACTGAAATGGCGGCTGAAGGCTGCGCCCACCGCCCCCTGGGCGTGGGCCGCGTGCATGGCCCATCCTCGCACTAATTGCATCAGGTAATTGCCGTCATTTATGACTGGACAGTATGTTATGCTTAAACTCTTCAAGTATAAAGCAATTTTTTATTCAATTTATTATAATTTTTGTGATTTGGCTTTTTTTTTGGAACCGGATATCTTTCCTGCAGCCATTTTAAAGGGAGTATTTGACAACATAACTAATCTATCGGCGGAATCTAGCGAGGCCACCCATCGGCATTGGACTCATATTTACTTTGCCCCACTGAAGAGGCGAGGCTGTAGTAGGGGGAATTTGAACCCGGGATGGGGGGTTCCCAACCGTGCTCGCCCACCAACCACCCTAAATCTCCGTGGGTATTGTTGAACTTCATTCTTCCGTCAATATTCCTGACCTGCAACAAAGAAACAACACAAGCAGGAAAACAAAGAAGAGAATGAACAGTAAGATGTTTTTCGTATCTCTTCAATACGGTCTTTTACAGTGTTATATACTCAAGTGCTCATGCTGACTTGAGCGGTAGGGATGAGTTAGTTTCAAACTAACGGTGAGGATCAAAAGTCAAATAAAATGTACCTGAGCAGTGGAAGCATAAGTTGGAATTGATATGTGGGCTTGCTTATCAAGTATGTGATTCAACCCTTACATTAAAGTTTATTTTTCACATAGCAAGAACTTCAAATTTCTTATATAATGAGAAGTTCAAGTATCAATTGTATAGTTATAAATTTTATTTTTTAAAATATTTAATAAATTAAGTAATGAATTTGCCCATCCAAGAAAATGGTTGATTTCACTTCTGTTGATTAGTGATTGGTACATCTGTAGCATGGGGCCATAGATCATGTGGTTGATATAGTATTCGTTTTGAATGTTATTATAATTATTCGCGCAAAAGCAAAGAGGTCAAGTGATCAAAATTTTGCCGCGAGGGTGGTGGGGGACGTGAGATGGTAAATGGAACAATCCAGTAGACCTCAATGACACTAGTCAATATGCAGCGTGTCCGTTGCTCATGAGTCATGGCCATTGCAATGGAAGGCTTAATTGATTAAAATTATTAATATTGTTGTCAAAATTTTATATTTTTGTCCAATAAATAGTAAAGTTAGATCAAGTCGTTAAGTTAAAATTTCTTCTCAGTGATCATTTTTGTTGTGTTTCATCGCAGCTGGAGCAGACGAGATTATACGATTTGAATAGTAAATATGATCATGTTGATGAGTAAATATTGGAGAACGATTGACATTAATATTGATCGTTGATAGTGGCATATATTGATGTTGTAAAATGAGTGGCAATGTGCATCAATTTTGGTTGAAGGCGAATAACAAATATTGATGATGTGATTAGGGGTGCAACCGAGTCAAGCCGACTCGCGAGCCGGCTCGAACTCGACTCGGTAACGGGCTCGACGAGTCGGGCTTATCGAGCCTGCGAGTCGAGCTCGAGTTCGAACATGTCTCTGACTCGACTCGTCGGCTCGACGAGCTGCTAGACGCACGCGGAAATCCAATTCTGGCAAGCGGGAAATCTAATTATGGCGAGCGGAAATCCAGTTTTGGCGAGCGGGAAATCGAAATCTTAGAGCACGCGTGGATCTTGACGGCGAACGAGCTCGATACGACATCGTCGGACGCGAATAGAGCTCGGAACGACGATGGCTTTACTCGGGACAACGATGGTTCATGGATGAGCTTGGGATGATGGATCTTGGTGGCAGAGCTCAGGCGACGGATCATGACGGCGGAGCTCAGGAAGATGACGAACAAGCTCGTGATGACGGTTCTCGACGCCGGATGGGACTTTGAGTTCGGGACGACGAGTTTAGGTGTGCAACCGAGTCGTCGGATCTCTTGGAAGCAGACGTGGACGCCGGACGTTGATGAAGCGGCATTGGCGACGACGCAGAGCTGGCGACGACGCGAGCACGTCCGAGCTCGAACTGCTGCTCGAGAGCTCGACGAGCTTTTTTTTACTCTGTCGAGTCGAGCTCGAGCTCGACTTTTGAGCTCGACTCGAGTTCGAGCTCGAGCTCGAGCTCGGCATTTCTCAGACGAGCTCGGCTCGAACAACCGCTGACTCGAGCTCGACTCGACTCATTTGCACCCCTAGATGTGATTGGTGTCGCTCAATAATATATGAGCGACAATGAATGAACGCTGATAGAGTTGAAGTTGATCAATAATGGTGGTAGACAATCGCAATAAACGTTAGAAGCTTGAAATTGGTCTATGTTTTTACTCTTTTAATTAAAAGGGAGGACAATGGTAGTTGGAAATTGACTAGGTTAGGTGGAGTAGAACTTAACAAGCTAAATTCTAAAGGTAACTTGTTGGGTTATAAATATTGGTCATAGCCCGTGAATTCTTTACATTTCAAAATTAACACTCGTTATTGACACCAATGACAACAATAATCTTTGCTAACAAGTTTTACACTCGTTACTTTAAAATTAGTGTAAAATTAATTATCAATATATTACACTAATATTACAATAAATCTAAAAGATTTGAAACCATCTTTACATAATTAAGTTTTGATGATAATACCTTGATAACAAAATTTTCCCCAAAAGATATATAATAATTAATAACTAAACCTATTATTTATCATAATAATCATTAGTTAACTTTAAATTAGAATTTCCTAAAAATTCAATGCTTCCTCTACCATTTTACTTGAAAATTGAACACAAAACAAAACACTCCAAGTCAATAGTGACTTCAAGATCCATTAAAGCCATGGCAAAATCTTTTAATTTGTAGATTTGTATTTTGGTAGTGATAAATTTTTGTCCTAATGAAAGCAACATTTTGTCACCATTCATTAATTTATTTACTCTATGTTTTTTTTCTTCTAATAATATATTCATCAAATATACTCAGGCGAAAGAACAAACGCGCGGCTATTACCACTTGATCATATTGAGATCAATTAGATTATCATTATCAATATTTTAATTTATAAATAATTAGACCAACTAACTACAACTAATATGTGACATCACTCTGAGCATTTTTAATTATAATTAGCCTGATTATAGCCAACGGTTGATCCTTTAATCTAGGCTTATTTTTTACAGGAGAAAATTAAATTAGGATGAATTTTAGAAATTTTTAGATTTGTTTTAAGATAAATACATTTAATTTTAGCATTATACTAATCTTAAAATATTTTAATATTAACATAGTATAGCATTATGTAATTTTGTTTCTCCTTAGGGTGTTTGGGATGGTAATAGTATTTTATAACGGTGGCTGAAAATATTTAAGGGAAAATAACTTTTTTAAAAAGCTATTATAGATATTATAAATATGTTCTTTCTTAAATAAAAAAGAATATATGAATATAACTCTTGTTATAAAAACTAGCTTCTCATCATAATTAGAATTCTAAAAAAGAATGAAAAATCAACAAAATGTAACTAAAGAATAAATATTCATTTGGAAAAGCTGCAGCTTTTATAAAGATGGTTGTGAAGCTGTTATAGATAAAATAACTTTTTAAGATTTTGTTTGGGACGGCCTTCTTACTACTTCTTAAAGCAGCTTTTTAGTGCAAAAATTGAAATTTTTGTAATAAAAAATTGGTTTAATAAGCAATAAGAAAGCTATTGTAAAAAGGAGCTTCATAGCATAAAAAATTTCCTAATAGTAAAGAAAAAGCAGTTGTCAAAATAGAAATTGTGATTCCGATCTAAAAAGTAAAACAATAAAAAAACTGTCCCAAATGAAACCTAAATTTTAGTTAAGATCTAAAAAGTAAAAATGTGAGAAAGCTATCCCAAAATGACTCTTAACTTGCTCTGCTCTCATTTGGTTGCAATTTTTATTTTTTTTCGCATAAAACTTACTGAGCATATAACGTTATTATTATTATTATTACTGCCTTTTAAATTTGATCTTATATCCCACGGAAAGGGACAAAGATTATTCTAAGACAAAAATAAGTGAACAACAATACAGATGGGTTGGTAACCTATCGCTTATTTGTACATATTAATTATTATATATCATTTTACTGTTGTTTGTATAATCTTATAGAATTTTGAATGCACACATCTATTGTTTGTGAACTATTGCCTATAATTTAATTAAACGCTTTGTAAAGCAAGAGAATAGGATTGAAAATCTTGGCTAATGATCGATGACGAGATGTGGCAACATAGTTCATCATTAGGCATTAATGAAATCCGATCAAATTAATCATAAGCTTCGGGTTTGATGCTCAGAACTTTGCATTTAGTTAGTTAAGTGAATAAGGAGTAGGAGTGTCAATATTTGACATGATTTGAAAATCTGACTCGAAACAGATCTGAAAATTTCTGGTTATGATCAACTCGTTTGTGAAAGGGGTTAGGTTCGGGTTCAACAAACTGACTCGTTTTAAAAATCGGATTGGGTTCGGGCTGACCCTAAAACATGGAAATGACCAGAAATGACACAACTAAACATGCTGACCTCGTCTGCTGCCTGCGTCGAATGCCCATCGTGTCGAGTCTTTGGTCACTTCATGTGAGTCATCAGTCACGTTGTTGTCGCGTGAGTCGCGCCAAACTGGTTCGTCACGTAGAGTCTCCCATGTCTCATCTACTGCCGCTGTCGTGCTGTTGGCGGCGTTACCGAGCTGCTGCCACTACCGTGCTATTGTTGTGTCTACAGGTCAGGTTAGGTCATCCCAGTAATCCGCGCGGGTCAGGTCTGGGTTGAAATATTTGACCCATTTGCAAAAACAGATCGGGTTTGGGTCGGGTCAACTAGTGTCAGGCTACTTCTGGGGTCGACCAAAACTTGTCTTGTGACCCGATTTTAACAGCCCTAATATGGAGTATGATTAATTGATTGAAAAAGTTTCA